CCCCGTCCCACAAATCACATCTGGGGACCCCCCCCACCCCATGAACCAAATCACATCTGATCTGACTAACGCTTGGCTTTCTGACTTTCTCCAACAGGAATCCGTTTGTGGAAGTGCACTCGATGTGAGGCATCAGGGGTACAGGAGAAAGATTTGACCTTCACCCGCAAACATTCCCTACAGTACCACATCTTGAACGAGATTGGGATCCCACGATACCGCTGCCCAGAGCCAGGTTGCCCTAAGATGCACAACCACACACACCACGGCCAGGTAAGTAATCCTGCAAGCTTAGCCTCCGCCCCGTTTTGTAGATGAATGGATTTCGCAGCAGATTGGAAGTTTGAAATTTTATATATATATGTGTGTCGCGACGCTACCCCTACCCCTAGCCGTCTATTCTACTCTGTCTCATCATGGTGGTCACTCGTTACAGAAGTTCTCCCTCTCATTCGATGTTGTTTTTGTTGTTGTTATGGATCCAGCAACAACTGGGCTCTCGCCCTTCTGTCCAGTGCCATGTAGTGCTATGCCCATGGTTTTATGCACCCCGCATAATTTAGCAATATTTGATCATTTTTTTGCATAATTTCTGATTATTTTCCTTTATTATTCTTTGTTAAAGATTAACAGAATTGCATAATTTCACATTTTTGGGCTCAGTTTGCATAATTTCAGAATATGTTTTGCTTAAAACCGTGAGGACAGGTTGATAAGTGCAGGTTTGTTTACTGCAGCTCTCATTTCATGATACCACTGATTGTGTGTGTTGAGTTCATTTGGTTATGTGTGTTGTTTTTTTTCTTGCCAACACAGAGCCATGTCCGTCAGCACACTGGGGAGAAGAAGTATAAATGCCAGGTGGACGATTGTGCGGCAGCGTTCACCAATCGCAACACATATAGCAGGCACCTGCTGAACATTCACAATTATGTGCTGCAACGGTAAGTTCTATACCTATTGCTTTTTGTTTTGTAAATGTGAGGCAGCGAGGTGGAATCAGGCTCTCGTCAACTTTTGGGCATGTAGAGTTATTGGTATTATCTTAAAGCTTGTTCACTTGTCATTTTTTGGATGGAAAAAATATCCATTTATCTTGAATACAAGTCGAGATATTTGCAAATGAAGGAGGTGGGGGGTCACCTGTTTTCAGAGGTAAAATTAGTGAGAAAATGGCCGCCAAAGATTAGTTATTTCCATAGGTTAAGAGTCCGTGGCAACTGAAAATGTACATTTATTGTACCTTTAATCAACGTTTTTCAGAAAAATCCACACAGAAATGAGTTCTTTAATGGGCATGAAGGTGTTGAACCAAAAACTGCAGAAAAATGCAAGTTTCTTCACTTTGATTATTTTGACGAGAGCCTGATTTTTTTAGGTGTTTTTTTGTGTGGTTTCTTCGACAGTTGGCTACTTTTGTTTTTCTAGGGTAGCGAGTTGTCAATTGTAGAAGGTAGGGGGGAGGGGGGGGGTTTGTTCTTCTGGGTTGTTTTTTTGTTTTGTTTTGTTCTGAGATTTTGGTGGGGGAGGGGGGGGGTTGGTTGGTGGATGCTGTGGTTTGCTTTGATCCTTCTTTCCCATCCAACATCTATTATCCTTATCTCTTCTCCTTCTTAATTTCCTATCCAATATCTATTGTCCTCATCTCTCCTCCTTCTTTCTCATTCATCCAACATCTATTGTCCATATCATTCTTCCTTGTTTCCTATCCAACATCTGTCGTCCTTATCATTCTTCCTTGTTTCCTATCCAACATCTGTCGTCCTTATCATTCTTCCTTGTTTCCTATCCAACATCTGTCGTCCTTATCATTCTTCCTTGTTTCCTATCCAACATCTGTCGTCCTTATCATTCTTCCTTGTTTCCTATCCAACATCTGTCGTCCTTATCATTCTTCCTTGTTTCCTATCCAACATCTGTCGTCCTTATCTTTCCTCCTTTTTTTGTGTTTGTTGCTCTTTTGTAACACCGATAATCTTTGGCACTTATATAATGCTGTAAATAGGTTGCAAATGCCGTAAAACTCATACTAAAGCAAGTTGTTTTTTCTGACACTGAAGAAATGATTGTTGGCGTAATGCAAGGGGGCTCTCGTGGCCTAGAGGTTAAGGTGTTGGCCTCTCATTCAAAAGGTCCCGGGTTCGAATCCGGGTAGCGACCGACAAATTTTCTTCTCTAAAATTGTCTCCTTTCACCTTCTTTCCTGCTCTCTAGCAATGTTCTGTTGTCTGCTTTCATTTCCACTTTCTGCCCCCACCCCCTCACTTCCTTTACCCCCTCCTCTGGGCTCCTGACTCTTTTCTGCAGCCTTTCTACTGCTACTCCTTGGCTCCTCCTTACTGCTGTCTTTCTGCCATACCCCTGATCTTCTGGTAGGAAAGATGTACACCTAGCCTTCTCGGACAAGGGCGAAAAATCTTGGAGGGCCCATGTGCAAGTTGCACACGTTAAAGATCCCTTGGTGGTCTAAAATGGATAAGAGTAGGCTTCGGCTGCCACCCGGGCAAAATTCAAAATTTCCTACCAACTGAAAATATTAGGTGTGTCCCGCGCGCTCATATGACCTTATGCAGTTGCGAGCGCCGTAAAACACTTTACAAAAACAAAAAAAATAAAAAAGGTGTAATGCAGTGAGAGTGATGTTGAGGAAGAAAACAGTATTACATAAATATGTGAAAGATTGATTTGTTTACCAGGGCTGCCAAATCTCTGGTTGTTTCGGTTATTGTCCATTTTTTAAAAATACACTTGCAAAGGAAGGGGGAGAGGTAGGAGAGATGTTTTTGTTTGCTCATTTAAAAACTTTACAAGGTTCGTTTTAGGTGAGATGTGATGCTCCACTCATTTTCATTTTTTCTTTAAAAAATCATTTGGCATCCCTGGTTTCTAAAGTATAGAATTTTATAAGTATGTATAGCTTACATTTCTACAATAGCTGGGCGGCTAGGTTCCCAATTATTGAAAGCTAAGAATTGTAGGAATCGAACCGAACCCAATTACTTACTTTCTAATGATGTGATTTCTTCCTGTTGTTTCTTGGTTGGCTCCGAACATCTTCAGGATTTAGGATAATCTTGATTTCGAAACTCTAGGAAGCATGTTCAAAAATAGATTTAAAAAAAAAAGAAGATTTTAATGACAAAGTAGCTGGTAACTGTTGGCTTACGTAAAAAGGAGTCGGAACTTTTCTCCCGTAGTATTAATCGTTGGAATCAGCTCTGGTATCTATTCTTCGCCCAGCTCTGAGTTCTACTAAAATTGTAAAGAATAAGTAAAATCGTCACCATATTTACAATGACAAAAATATTTAAAATGTTTTACTGTCATCATTCATCATTGCCTTTCTCACCCTGCACCAGGGTATAGGCCACGGACAAACACCTTCCACCTTTCTCTATCCTGGGCTAGCCTCTTGATGTTATTCCATGTCTTCCCACTTTTCTGTACATCGATTTCTGTGATTCTTCTCCAGGTTCCACGTGGTCTTCCCCATGATCTTTTACCCTGTTGGTTCCAATCCAAAACTTTCTTTGTTATGCAACTGCCTGACTTCCTGTTTTACTGTCCTTGTAGTAAATAGTTAGGCTAGGGACAGTGCATAGATCTCTGTTGTTAGCGCGTCCATGAACAAAACTGTGCCGATAGTGTTGTAAAATGCCTACACTGTCAATCAAGATGTTTGGACAGAGTTTCTTCGACAGTTGGCTACTCTTTGTTAATCTAGGGTAACGAGTTGTCACTTGTAGAAAGTAGATGGCTGGCGGGTGCTCTGCTGTGGTGTGCTCCTTCTTTCCCATCAAACTTGTATCGCTCTTATCTCTCCTCCTTCTTTTTGTGTGTATGTTACTCTCTTGTAACACATCCACTATTCTTTGGCACACATATGGCCTCATTGAGTTGCTACTGCCGTAAAACTCTTACGAACGAAAACTAATATTCGTAGAAATCCACTTCATGCTTTTTTGATACGCTGATGTTGACCTTGTTACGTATGACTTTTTCAGGAACAATGAAATGATTCAGATATCTCCTGAATCAGCCCAAGAAAAAATTCGTGAAGCCCAGTCAAAGGCCAAGACTAGGAATAAGGTAGTGTGCTTTTTTCTCCTGAAATTATTTCTGTATGATGTGCTATTTGTGAAGCGTGCTGACAAAACGAGTTTAACTTCTCGGATTCAAGCCTTAATAAGGAAATAGATACATCTCACTTATAGCTGAAGTGGGTGGTTGGCAGGTGCTCTGGTGTGGTTTGCTGCCTGTTCTTCTTTCCTATCAAACATCTATTGTCCTTATCTCCCCTTCTTCTTTTTTATGTTTATTACTCTCTTGTGACACCTGTAATCTTCTGGTGCTCATATGACCTTATGTAGTTGCGAGCGCCGTAAAAGCTCTCCTAAAAACAAAACAGAAAAAAATAGCTGAATTTTTTACAATTCATAAGTATGAAGTAATAAGAGGCATGTTATACTTTGAAGATATGGCATCAATAGGAAAATCAACAAATTTGACCCTAGTCTCAATTTTTGGCCAATATCTTCGTTTGTGGAATACGAGAAGTAACTCATTTTGTCAGCACGCCTCACTCTAGTTTGGGTAGTGATGCGGTGAAATCTGGCTTTCGTCCGCTTCTGGGCATGTAGAGTTATTGAATTGGTATTAACGTAAAGCCACTTCGTGGGTGGTTGGTGGGTGCTCTGGTGTGGGTTGGTCCTTCTTTCCTATCAAACACCTATCGTCCTTATCTCCCCTTCTTCTTCTTTTTGTTTGTTACTCAGTTGTAACACCTCTAATCTTCTGGCGCTCATATGACCTTATGCAGTTGCAAGCACCGTAAAACCTCTACTAAAAGAACAAAAGCTTGTTCATTTGTCTTTAAAAAAAATTCAGTCGAGGTTTTACGGCGCTCGCAACTGCATAAGGTTATATGAGCGCCAAGGGGTGGATGTCAACAGAGAAGTGTTTACAGGGAATCGGGCTTACTCTGCTCTCCTCTCTAGCTTCTACAGCACAAAGTCTGTTTAGACTTTCAAGGCACTCCGGAAATAGCAGGTCACAAGAGTGTGACAAACATTCAAAAGAAGTAGAGGAAAATGAAGATAGAAAGGATTAGGAAAGAAAAAGCAGCAATTCGCTGTTGTAGTTCAGGCACAGTTATGAGCATGACATTGTTGAATCAGCCCATTTACAATTTTTCTGTGCATAAGAATGAGAAATGTCCCCACTTTGGGAATGGCTTAAAGACACTTCAGTTAGTAGCACCACCGGAGGGTGGTGGGTGGTGGAGAGTTCATTTGCCACATTATTTTGATGAAAAACTTGCCTGTCTATCTTTAATAGAAGTGGAGAAGCTTGCTATTGAATGAATTGGGGTGGGGGGGGGGAACCAGGTTTCCTGAGGGAAAATGAGGGAGAAAACTGTCGCCAAAGTTTGGTGACTTCCACGCATAGCTTGAGGGCCCTTGAAAACTGTAAATTGACATTCTCTGTGCCGTTATCAATTTTTATGAGCAGTAAAATCCACACAAAATGAATTTTTTTTTGAAAGTCAAACCTCAAGGAAGAGTGGATGAATGATTGGGCCACAGGTACGACAGGAAGGAGGATGTATGGCCACATGAATAAACCACTGGTCAAAGATCCAATCAATGAGTTCAGAAGGGGAGATCAATCCATAATCTTCCAACTTAGAACACAACATGTACCCCTCAACCAACATCTCAACCGAATTGGAGTAAAGCAGTCTGCTGCCTGCCCACTTTGTGACTACCCCTCAGAGACAGTGGAACATCATCTGTTTTTCTGTAGAAAACTAACTGATTTAAGGGGATGTTTTCTTCCCAAGCTACCCCACACGTCTAATTGCCTCTACTCCTCAAGACAACAATTAGAACAAACATGCAACTATTACCGAATGGCATCATGCAGAAGAGTTAACGCTCAGATGCTACTGGATCGCTAACAACAACAACAAAAAATGGACATAGAAGGTGTTGAGCCAAAGAAAGAAAAATTCAACAAAAATTTTCAAAATGGCCGGACAATAGTGAGATCCTCAAATTAATTATTTTGACGAAAGCCTGATTTCACCATGATGCCTCACTTTCGATATTATTAAGTTCCAATATTGGATGATGGTGGCTGTTCATGTTGTTGTTGTTATTGTTGATATTGTTTTTGATGTTGTTGTTGATGTTGTTATTGATGTTGTTGTTGTTGTTGTTATTATTATTGATGTTGTTATTGTTATTGATGTTGTTGTTGTTATTGATGTTGTTGTTGTTGTTGTTGTTGTTGATGTTGTAGTCGTTGTTGGTGTTGTTGTTGTTGTTTCTGTCTGACTGTGTCCCAACAATGGGTGATGGTGGTTATTGTTTTTGCGAGGGTGGTTGGTGGATGGGTTCTCAGATGTGATTTTCTCCTTTTTTAAATTAAAAATCTGTCCTCCTTATTTTTTTGTGTGTTTGTTAGTCTCTTGTAGTGGTTGGTTGGTGGATGCTCTGGTGTGGTTTGCTTCTTCTTTACTATCAAACATCTATCTCCCTGATCTTTCCTTCTTCTTTTTTTGTGTTGTACTCGCTTGTAACACCTTTAGTCTTCGGCACTTATACGACCTTATGCAGTTGCGAACGCCGTAAAACCTTACTAAAACAAAACATTTTTTCCCACAGATCAAGAGACAGATGGGAAGTAACGTTGCGATGAACAGCGTTGAAATGAAGCAGGAAGGCAGATCTGACAGTTCCGACAGTTGTGTGAGCCAGGTGCCATCCACTGGTGAGCCAACTAGGCAGGAGGACAGTTCCGACAGTTGTGTTAGCCAGGTGCCATCCACTGGTGAGCCAACTAGGCAGGAGGACAGTTCCGACAGTAGTGTGAGCCAGGTGCCAGGTGACGAACCAATGATCAAGGAGAGACATCCTGCACAGGTTTCAACAGACAACCCAGGCACTTCCAAGCTGTTTCACGTCTTCCAAAAATATGAGAAGGAAGTTTTGCAGAAAAATGAAAAAGCACCCCCTCGTCCATATAGCAAGCACAGAACATCTGCCCACAGAACATCCGCCCACAGAACATCTGTCCACAGAACATCCGACCACAGAACATCCGTCCACAGAACATCCGACCACAGAACATCTGTCCACAGAACATCTGTCCACAGAACATCCGACCACAGAACATCCGTCCACAGAACATCCGACCACAGAACATCTGTCCACAGAACATCCGACCACAGAACATCCGCCCACAGGACATCTGACCACAGGACATCTGACCACAGAACATCTGTCCACAGAACATCCGACCACAGAACATCCGCCCACAGAACATCCGTCCACAGAACATCCGCCCACAGAACATCTGACTGCTGCACCCAAGCACCTCAAGGTTAGCTATAAGGAGAATAAAGAAATGCAATGTGCAGACGCAGGTCCGTGCTTTGAACCGAATTGCACACAGAGAGGTGTGGAGGAGACGGAGGGTGACAAGACAGTGTTTCAGCCACCAGTTACTGAAGCCAAAGTGTTGGTCGCTCGGCCAGACAACATTCAGTCATCACATGGGACGTCACAAGGAACGTCGGCCACACGTGTGTCCGACCTATACAGCACACACTCGGCACTTATGGTACCCGCCCCCGAGTCTACCTATGTGTACGACTCATCCCCTTCACAGCTGCAGGTACTCCATTTCCACACCTCGCCCAGGAAGAATTGAGACCGAAGGTTCACCAAGTGCACTTGTGCCCAGCCTGACTAACGGCACTGTTAACATTCCTAAGTTAAGTATAAGCTCGCCAGTAGGCAGTCCGGCACAGGGGTCTCTCAAGGTTTAGAGGATAAGGTGTTTGCCCTTCGTTCGAAGGTCCCGGGTTCGAATCCTGGGTAGCGACCGAAAAATTTTGTTCTTTTAAATTGTCACCTTCTTACCTTCTCTCTTGCAATATTCTGTTGTCTGCTTTCGTCTGCACTTTCTTCTCCCACCCCCTCACCTCCTTTGCCCCTTCCACTGGGCTCTTTACTCTTTTTGCAGCCTTTCTACTGATACTCCTTGGCTCCTTCTTACTGCTGTCTTTCAGCCGCACCCCTGATCTTCTGGTAGCAAAGATTTACACCAAGCCTTCTTGGACGAGGGTGAAAAGAAATGTGAGCTACAAGGTTTTTTTTAAACCACCCTTTTGTGAAGAACATGATCTGTAACTGCACTCTGTGTGTGTGTGTGTGTGTGTGTGTGTGTGTGCGCGCGCGCGCGCGCACTGTGCTCAGGACAATAGTGAAGAATATCATCCGCTAGTTTTTTTCTTGGGTAGCAATGATCAAATATTGTTGTGGTTTTTGATAAATAAAGACTTAAACGCTTTGTTACAAAACTGAGAATGGAAAAAATCATCCACGTGGTCGAAAAGAAATGCCAATTTTGTATTTCTTAATATTGGTGCTGTGAACACTGATTGAAATACCAAAAATTATTTTTATAACATGACCTACTTTTCAGAATACTTAGTATTATTCATGTGAAAGGAAAAGTGTAAAGACTCAAAAGACTAGATTTTATACATTATCAAAAAGTGGCAGTTTCAGTTTGATAGCCATTATAGTAGGCCAACACTTTTTTTTCATTCAAAAAATGGAAAAATATTGAGGGGGAATTACAAAATGGTTACATTCCATTATGGCTGAAGTATGTAAAGTATGACTTCACAATTAACTGTTTGGTTTGGAGAAAACACTTTAAAATAATTCTACCCAAGCTAGCATTTGTTGTTACTATGCAATTTTGTCAAACCTGGGGTGCCTGTGACCTTTTTTTCTCAATGTATGCAGCAATATTGTAACAATGTGCATTTTGTACCTTCTCGTGAGCACACATGCATGCACGCATGCACACATGAACATTCGCATGCGCAAACACACACACATATACACACAATACACACATTCTCACATACACACACACACACGTGAACTTTCAAATTTATATCCTGATGGAAAAAAGTTTTTCCCCTCCTTAAATTCTTGCTCACTGAAGATGGAACAAAGGGGTGGTGAGTCAAGCCGATTTAACAAATTTTACTATATTTCTTTCGTTTTTTTTGTTCTTATGAATGTGTTCAATGAATTCCGTGAATGTGTTCAATGAATTCCGTTTTTAATCTTTATATTCAGTGAATTCCATAAAAATTTTTGTGACTTTTTAATCTTGTAAATATGTTCAGCTAAATCCATTTTTAAATCTTGCAAGTATGTTTATAGTGTGGAAAAAAATTCATGGCGCAACTTATTGACAAATATTTCCTCAACTATCGAACATAAAATCTCCAGCTTTTGAACAATGACTTCTATCAGATCGTTCTAGCAGATCAATATTTTTGTAAACACCTGCTAACTGTATTCTAGAAAATTCCTTAATAAATGCTAATTAAAAAATCCATCCAAATGGGTGGTTTCTACATATTTAAAAAGGTTTACAGCTGGGGCAAAATTATTGCTTTTAAAAGCAAGTCTGTTTTTTTTCTTTTCTAATTGCAACGTTATGCCTATTGAAGGCATGTTTAGAGAACATTTAGTGCAAAAAACGTGTTCACTATAAAATTCATTTCTTGTAACATGTTTGCAAGAAAAAAGTGTCATTGGTGAGCTGTGACGTAGGCCACATATGTGGAAAGTGCTGTGAACAATCCCATATTCCGCGTGAAGGAGATTTGTAATATTTTCTCTAAATCTATGAAGAAAAGTTTTTTAAAATGTAGCCTGTGAGAAAATATGATTAAGTCCAGACAACTGCTGTTTGTGTAAAGCTTTGTGTGACGTTGATTTACCTGTTAAATAGATGTTTGAGGATAAGTTGAGTTATGAATTTCTGACAGCACTGTTGGAATAATGTTTTTTAATTTTGTGAATATGTTTAGTAAATTGTGTTTTTAATCTTGTAGATATGTGTCACGATGTGGTAAAATCAGGCGCTCGTCAATATTTGGGTATTTGGAGTTACTGATATCATCGGAAAGCTGATTTATTTGCCTTGCCTCCAATGAAATAAATATCTATTTTATTTGGTAGTGAAGGAAGTGAGATTGCCTGGTTTCAGTGGTGAGATTAGCGATAAAAATATTTTAAAATTGTGACTTTAATCAATATTTTTCAGTAAAATTCAATGGAAAGATGTGTTTTTATATGGACATAAAAGAAGTTAAGCCAAAAACTAAAAATTTGATAAAAATTTCCAACTGAAAGAGAAATGCCTGTTTCTCAGATTTAGTTATTTTGACGAGACCTGATTCCACATCTTGACACAAATGCTGAGTGAATGCTGTTTTTAATGTTGTGAATATGTTGAGTGAATGCTGTTTTTAATGTTGTGAATATGTTTAATGAATTCTATTTTAAATCTTGTGTGAATATGTTTAATGAATTCTGTTTCTTATCTTGTTAATATGTTTAATGAATTCTGTTTTCAATCTATCTTTAATGAATTCCATTTTATACACATAGAGTCAGACCCTGTTATGCAGCCAGTCTAACTCACAGCCAGGTTTTGCCAAAGCACATAAAAACAGCGCCTCTAAACATTGTAGGGGTACTTGCATCTCGTAAACCGCTCTCATACCTACTGCCTTGAGCTGCACGGTCCTTGCCAAACTGATATAAGTTTGCCCTGCAGTACTGCCAGTGAACTCGTCGTCAGATCGCGGCAAAGAGGTTTTGATATGTGAGGCATCGTGGTAAAATCAGGCGCTCGTTAAAATAATGAAATCGAAGACTACAGGATTTTTCTGCCGGTTAAGCAAATTTTAATGAATTTTTTGGGGGGAGCGCAACACCTTTTATGTCAATTAAAAAGAAATCTCGGAGTGGATTTTACTGAAACACGTGATTAAAGGCGTGCAAAATGTAAATTTTCATTTTTTAAGGACTTTCAAACTATGGAGGTTACCAAACTTTAGTGGCCATTTTCTCATAAATTTACCTCTGAAACTAAACAACCCCCTCCTTCTTTAGTCGCAAATATCTCGACTCCTATTCAAGAATGATGGGTTCTTTTTTCTTCTTGAGCAAGACAATAGAATAAACTTTAAGATAATACCAATAACTCTACATGCCCAAAAATTGACGAGCGCCTGATTCTACTGCGTTGTGACACATATATATTATTATACTAAAGCACACAGTTGTGACGTCCCACGTGTCAGACATGGGGGCTCTCTTACCCTTATCAGGATGAGCGGCGCGCTCCCTTTAACATGAACAATCAAATCCCCCCCCTCCTCCATGCTCCCCATGAGCTCTAGTCTAGTATATTAAACACCACCACCCTGCCCCCATATTTCAGTGCAAGTTTGTAGATTTCCGCCACAAGACCGCCGAGACTCCTCCACGTGAGTCTCAAAAAGTACTCGCTGTGCTGGCTAGCTTGGTGCTAGTCCCAAATCTGATGGTATAACGGAGCTTCTCTCTCATCTGTATATGTGACGTCGGTGGCCTAGTGGTTAAGCTCTCGGACTGGCAACCGTAAGGTCGTGGGTTCGAATCCCGTCAGTGGCCCGACGTTGTGTCCTTGGGAAAGGCACTTTACTCGAATTTTCCTCACTTCACCTGGGTGGGAATGGGTACCCGACTATAGACAGCAAAAGATCTTGTCAGTTTGTTAGTGTTTGAGCGCTTAATCAGCTGCTAGCACTGTATGCTTCCCGGGAAGCTGAGAATGTTTCTGAGTGTTCTATGGTCTGTTGGGGTAATAATATAGTGTAAAGCGCATAGAGCCGGCTGTTGAGTGGGGATATGCGCTGTACAAATGCTATTTATTATTTGTTATTATTATTATTATTATTATTATTTATTTATTGATTTGTTTATTGATTGATTTATTTGCTCTCCAGTATTTGATGGGTTGTGTTCTAGTCTTGCCGATTAAAAAGACACTTGTGCACTGGATATGCTAATATGAAGTTATATGATGAAAGTATTAATGCGCAGTGGCAGCCTGATGCTAGTCTCAAGCCAGCTAATATAATGCGGCTTCACTGTATATAATGTGTGTGTGTCTAAAGAAAGGTACCAAAAGTCAGATTTTGACCATTTTGGGTTAAGGGTTGTACCCTTGGCGTTCTTTACTTAAAGTACACTATGGTTGTACCTTATATGAAATTCAATGCTGCTCACAGGGTTTTTAAAATTTTTTTAGATATCTCAAGTAATTTTTTAGATATTGCACATTTTACGAGGCAGGGTATGAAAATATAATTTTGAGAAAATGAGCTATAAGTTTAACAAATGTGAGAACTCAAATGTTAAAAAAAAGATTTTTCAAATGTATTTATTCTTGGAAAATTCATTTCCAATTTGGCATTCTGTTGATATCAATATCATGAATGGAATTCAATTTTAAAACATAGCAGAGAAGAGAAAATGTGCTTCAACAATAGATTTTAACACCTTTTAAAAGCAGTTTGCATTATTTGTTTTTATTATACCCTGCCCTTCCCTCAAAATAATTCAAAATGAAACATTCAGAAGTCAAATCAATGGAAACACTTGGAGCACATTGTAGAAATCTATTGGATCTATAATTTTTTTTATGGAAACACATTGGTCAAAAAAGTGATTTTTGTCATTATCAGCCTGTTGCTCGAAACGGTCCGTGGCGACTTTTGGTACTTTTCTCCAGGCGCACACACATAATATGTTTTTATTTATTAATTCTCCTTTATTTGATGTGTTGGGCTCTTGTCTTGCCATTTAGAAAGATGATGGCTGTACACTGGATTTGTAGATATGAAACAGTGTGATGACAGTCTTAATGTAGAGGACACTATTGAAAACTGAGTATTCAGTTAAAAGATTTTTATCTCTTGTACTTGTAGTTTATTTTTCCTTGACTGTTGTTGATCCATCACTGCATGTGTGCCTTAAGAACAGTCTTTCACGTCTCTCTTTGTCAATAAATATGTACATAACATGGATATTTCTGATGTCAGTGTGAATTCAAATGCGTTTACTTATTTAAAGATTTTTCTATTTTTGGTAAATCATATTTACAAATGCTGTTAGATAGACGGCTTGTGTGTCGCAGTGTGGTGAAATCAGTCGCCCGTCAAAATAATGAAATAGAAGAAACAGACATTTTTTTCTGCCCATTGGGCAATTTTAATTCTTTTATTTTATTTTTTAAAATTAATATTTATTTTGATCAATATCTTTTAAGTCCATTAAAAAACTTATTTCTGTCTGGATTTTACTGCCAACATTTTAGAAACAGACATTATTTTCGGACCTTCGGGCAATTTTAATTAGTTTTTCTTTTTTAAAAATTAATATATCTTTTTATCAATATCTTTTATGTCCATTAAAAAACTCAATTCTGTCTGGATTTTACTGCCAAAATTTTATCAAAGGCACAGAAAAAATGGTATATTTTCCGTTTTCAAGGACTCTCTAACTTTGTAAGTCAGTCAACTGAGGTGACTATTTTCTCGCTGCTAATTTAACCTCTGACGCCAGGTGACCCCCACCTCCATCAATCTAAAAATTTCTGGACTTCTATTCATGATAGATTAGTACTTTTTTTTCATCAAAAGCAAGACATGAATAATTTTTAAGGCCTTTGATATTCACGGTCTAATGCCGATCGCAACACTGGGCACACCAGTAACAGCAATTTCATTATTTTGACGAGTGCCTGATTTCACCACAATGCCTCACATATTAATAACTCCACTTGCCCCAAAATTGAGGAGTGCCTGATTCCACCACTTCTTGACCCATATAATATTCACTGTATGTATATTTATTTATTCTCCTTTATTTGACGTATTGTGCACTTGTCATGCCATTTAGAAAGATGATGGCTGTACACTGGATTTGTAGATATGAAACAGTGTGATGACAGTCTGAATGTAGAGGACACTGTTGAAAACTGAGTATTCAGTCAAAAGGTTTTGATCTCTTGTACTTGTAGTTTATTTTTCCTTGACTGTTGTTGGTCCATCACTGCATGTGTGCCTTAAGAACAGTCTTTCACATCTCTTTTTGCTAATAAATATGTACATAACATGAATATTTATGGTGTCTGTGTGAATTTAAAGATTTTTCTATTTTTGATAAATCATTATTATATATTTATAATCAAATGCTCTCGGATAGAATCCATGTACATAGACTCGCAGCATACACCAAAGGCAGCCCACTTCAACTGACATCGGGGCAGTGCAACTAACTGAAAATGTCTCTGGGCCTTTCCCAAAGGGGTGATATTAACATGTTCTTTTACACAATAGAATTTTAAATGGGCTTGTTTATCAATGCCATGCTCATACTGTGCCGGAACAACATAGGGGGAACTGCTGCTTTTTCTTTCCTCATCCTTATTATCGTCATTTATTTCCTCTACTTCTTTTGTATGTTTGTCAATCTCTTGTGAACTGCTATTTTGGGGGTGCCTTGATAGTCGAAGCTAACTTTGTGCTTTTGAGTCCTGAGAGGTGAGCAGGGTAAGCCTGATTCCCCTTTTGGACTTCTCTGTTGACATCCACCCGTTGGTGCTCATATGACCTTATGCAGTTGGGAGCACCGTAAAACCTTACTAGAATTAAAAAACTACGTCTTTCACATCGGTCTTTGTGCCTAAATATGTACATATCATGAATATTTATTTTGTCTCTGTGAATTCAAATGAATTCATCTATTTAAAGGTTTTTATATTTTTGATAAATCATATTTATTATATAAATGCCCTT